CTCTCGTGGATTAATGGAAGTTAGATTTAAACTTGAGGTGTAATTTGGGTTTTCCATGTACAATGGCAATTATGCATCCTATAGGAAGCAAAAGAGCTTGTTTCATACCAGACTTAGTGATAAACTGCCAAGTATATAACAAAATTATACTATTGGGGCAGTTTTATAATTAGAGATAAACGTTCAAAGCATACAAATTGGTGGGGAAAAATAATTGAATGGTTACAAGTCAGGTAGGGTTCTTTTCACACTTGACACCAGCTCAGAACCTATGGAAGGATGGTAATACAACCAAGGCAGCAGTTAGTGCTAGCATGATGGAGTGAGTAGCTGAAATGTGACCTCTGCTGCTCTTCTGATCAGATTTCGGTGCCTCAGCGGGACATGCGAGACCTTCTTTCCCTTCGCGGCATTGAGACGCAAACAGACCGGGAGGGTACTTCCCGTAGATGTTTATGTAGCTGAACATGGTTGAAGCACAATCATTTTTCAAGTCATTGATTTCTTCTGTAAAAGGACAAGCAAAATCCTTCAAAGCATCACAGCAGCTCTTTGCTGGGTAGTTTGGTCCTTTGCACTTGCTTGTAATGATTGTGTAGTTCTGATTCTCAAAGTTCACAGGACAATCTGCAGATAGCCCAACAGAATACAAAATAAAGAATGATGACCGCAACTTATAGAATGCCGATGAGACATAGCATGGATTTTATAGTAGTACTAATCCTCATGCGTTGTTAGGTTTACGAAGGATTGTAGTTATGTTTTTAGTGAACCAAGGTTTAAAAATACTGAAAATTGTCAAATTTAAAAAGGAGATAAAAAATGCTTGATGAAATTATTACGTGAATAGTCAGAAAAATTACTAGAGAGTTGGCAACTAGTTTGCATTAGATATATCTGTCGTCGCGTAATGTTTAACGTACCATGGTTTAAGACCTTCTCCTGACATAAAATTAGGAATGGGAAATGATCAATGAATAAAAGACTTGAAAAATGCCTCACTAGCAATTTGGTAAGAGCTAGTTTTCATACTCAAACGCCGATAATCAATGATTTCAGTGAGATTTCCAAGTTTGCTAAGACTCCGATACTAAAAGGAAGAGAGAGATTCTTATCCAAGATTCCAAATAGAACAGATAACAGGACAGTTAAAATTCAGTGAGATTTAGATAATGCAACAATGAAGCCAGTGCCAGTCTATTTGTTCTAATTGTATTTTGTCCCGATGAATTCTCGTGTGTATTTTGGTTATTAACTAGTTAGCTTGACGCGGAGACAAATAATATCATGAATACATACAAAATTGAATGTTTCTTGGTTATGTAATGTTTGTTGAACACAAAAGCATAGTTATTTATGCTTTATGTTCCAACCCTATCTTCTGCAATATAGACAACCACATTTCCTTAACCTATATATTCAACTAAAATTATGCATGAGGTGACAAGAACTAAAGAGAATTAGAACATCCAACTCAAAACCAATACGCAATCAGTTACATTGGTTTCTCCGACGTTGGATAATACTCTTGACAAGACAGACGAAAAATATCAGCAAATTCATCAACAGTCGTATACAAACGCATTTTTAGCACATGGAATTGATGGGCACGACGAACAAATTAATTATTTGAAAACTAAAGAAGATATGATAACATAAAATAGGTAATTAAAAGGAGAAATTAAGTGTAATTACTTACTTTTTTTGGCCTGAAGAAGGGCACGTCCTCCGGTGGATGATCCACCTGACTCGAAGATATCATCTGCAACATTTATACAAAAATAATTAGATGAAATTGAATTGAATAAGTAGAAAGGAAATGAAAGAAGAAAAATAAGAAATGAAAGGGGAATTACAAGAGAGGAAGGTGGTGGAGGAGGCAAAACCCAATACAAGGAACAAGAAGAAGAAAAAGGGATGAAATGAAAACGCCATTGTAATAATAACTTCAGAGACCGAAGTACCAATGACCTATGTCAAGTCGTCGTAGTCGATCTCTGCCTTTGGCGCCTCTCAGTCTCAGGTCTCAGCCCCACTTTTCCCCTTTCTTTTTTGGTTGATGGTTTTGGTTCCCTCTCTCTTTCTCTCTCTAGGTCTGTATGTTTGTTTAAGGGAAGAGAGAGAGAGAGAAAATTGGAGGGAGGAGAGAAAAATGCTGCATGAAATTTGGGGAGGGTAAAAGTGGCAACATACACCACTTCTGTGGGTTGTTATCATTGTTGTGGCATGCCTTGTCTATTAAGGCTATCTTCAACTAGGCCGGCCAAAGGGTTATAGATTTAAACATAGTTATTTTGACACCAAATTCATTTCCAATGGAGGGTTGGCAAAAAAAATTTGGGCCAAAATCCAACCAAATGGCCAACGGGCTGGTCAAAGATAACCAGCCAGTCAGCCCAAAAAGTTGGGCCCAGCTGTGCTGTCAGCTGAGGTCATGTAGCCCTTTTTTTAAAAGACAAAATTTTAAAAAAAATTAATCTCTATTTTTTTCTTATAATACCTAAGCCATTTCTACACCCCTTCTCACATCTTTTTCACCCTTCAATACTATCTTACTTCATTTTAATGTTTAAATTGTTAACATGCAAGCAAAATTAAAATATTTAACAACCTAAAACTTAAAACAACATTTAGCAACAAGTGACACTCAAAATATATTCGGAAATCTTATTTTAATATGGTAGTTTAATTCAATTAACTAATACAATTAAAGAACAAACTTAAAATAATAAATTATTGAGGGGGCTAAAAAAGTAGCCCCATACGATTGGAGATGATATATAAATATGATATGACATTGTTCATTAAAAAAAATTCTTACAGGGTTATAATTTAGACAAAAGTTAAATATAACTCATTCGATTAGAGATGACATAAGTTCCTTGAGCTGACTTGTGGCTCAATATCTTGATATTCCTTTTATTCTAATAGGCTCTATTGGCCTATCTACCTCGTTTAGGCCCAACAACAATTATATAATATTTTAATGGGTCTAAAAGGACCTTGTATTAACAGATGACACTAAGGTGTTTTTGGCTTAGGTTTTTCTCTTTTTTTTTTTCCGAAGGACAAAATTGATTTCATTTAGCATATGAGAGAAAACACAAGGAGTATAATCCTCTTGTTAATGATGTAAACATTCCTCAGAGAATCTAATGAAATTTTTATTGTTTAACAGATAGAAAACCGGTATTAATGCGAGTCAAACTTAAAACCTTTCATTATAATTAAAAAAGAATAAGAATACCATTAAACTATATAATTTTAGTTAGTAAATCCTTTAGAAATCTATCAAAAAAATCAAATTGAATGCACTCATTTGAAGGATGTCAAGTTTTGCTGTTGGGCCGCTCAAGTATAAAACAGTATTCTCCCTTTCCTTCCCTCCATCATATCATCCAACCCTTTCCGATGTCGATCCACACATTTCTCTCTTCAATGTCGACCATAACTGAATCAATCGCTATATATTCTTCGGCTCCAACTTCATATTGCCGGACGCCGGTGGTGTCACGGTGGGTGCGTTGCCGGAATTCATGTGCTTGAGGGCTGACCGCCTCACAAAAAATCGCTCGCTTCCTCCAATTTTCCAAAAGCCCGGCGTAATCCATCAGCTACCGCCATTGTTTCCCAAGCTTAGGACACCACTGTCGATGGTAAGCGTCCCCCTCCCCCCGCGCGCGCATTTAAGTTTCCTATTAAAATGTTGAATCTTTTAGTCGTGTTATTTTGGTTTGATGGTGTGTTATGGTGTTTTGGAAGTAATGTAGCCCAATAAAAACAACAAAGAAAATTGAAAGGGGTTTTAGGGATTGATATTAGCTGTATGCGCTGTCGTTTTGCTTGATTGGCTGCATCTTTGCTCCATTGTCCATTCCTAAGCGCTGCTAAATCGACCTTTGACAATTTTGTGTCATTATTTCTATGAATAGTTCAATTAAGTGGCCCCTATAAAACAAACAAATTATGGGCTGATTGTCTGTACCTAAACAAAAATGTCACCCCCATTTCATAAGCTGTAACAATCTTCAGTATTATCACCCTTGTTTCGGACCATAAAGTGGAGCAAGTCGTGATCAAATGAAATATCCGATTGTAAGTGTTATTATCTGAAGTTGATTGTGTTTGAAGAATTTTCCTGCTTAATTGTATCAATAATAATACAAAATTATGTATCGTGCTTTTGGTACGAGAGTGTTCTCTTATTATGTTTGATATTATTGTGCAAGTTTCATAATTCCTATCTTTTGACAGATTATGAATGATAAGCTATCTTCAACCCTTGCCAACTTAGGAAGCAAACAGATTTTGAATCCTGATGTATTGTCCCAGTCCTTTTTGCCAAAATTAGTAAATCTAGATAGAGGTGTTTCTATGCATTGGCATTCCTTAATCAACGATAAGTTAATATATATATACACACACACACACACACACACACACACACATACATACATACATATATATGTATGTATGTATGTATGTATGTATGTATGTATGTATGTATGTATGCATGTATGCATCTATTATCCATATATCCTTCTGTCTGTAGAGAATGCAGAAACAGATAAGAAAGGTGCATGTAACCATACATATTTTTTATGTACCATGCAACCCCCAAACATTCCCCGAACCAGAAAACGTCTATTTCCATCCTCTGAGATTCGTCTCTTTCCTAAGTTGTAATGGAAATAGCGATAACTCTGTTGTAGGACTTCCTCAATGGCTGAGGCAAGGATAACTTGGGCAAGTTGATGCTCAAAGACCAATTCAAGTCCAACATTTGGGTCAGGCAGGCTGTGGGCCAATCCAACTTACCTTCCTTAGGTTTGTGTCAAATAAGAGTTGCGAAGGCTGGAAATGTGGGCAGGCTGGACTAACCACTTTTATACAAAGTGGATGCTCTCATTGTCCATGAGAAAATATGGGTTTGTTGGTAGAAAACCCTGTGGAACTTATGTCTCCCACTTCGCTAAATGTAAGTATTCTTTATCATTAAATTGTCATGTTTTGGGATTCCATTTCAATGCTACGAGCATTGAATGGTCTGGATTCATGGGACCATAATAAAAGCAATAACCCAAACCAATCCAGGCCATCAAATGCTCGTAGCATTTAATGCTACATAGCATGGAAAATTTTCCCATGTTTTGATGAAGATGTGCATGCACATTTTCTCACTAAGATGACCATGTTAAGATGAAGATGGTGTTTGAGATCATTTAGGATCTTAAAGAGATTAATCCCATTAACTATCCAAGAGAGTCTGTAATAGGGATGGTCGTTCATGCAGGTTGGATTAGGAACAAGCAAACCATTAGATTTTGGGGAACCTTAGTCATTGAGAGTTTGAAGTATATTGTCTGCTTCTTAGAACTGCCAATAAATGAAAGTATCGGTAGAGAAACTGGCCCTAAAATACATACTAGTAAGTTCAAACCCACACATAGACAAATGATTATGCTTCCATTTGGCAATTCAGATCTTTCCTTGATGGTTGGTTTAAAGGAAGCATTACATGTAAACTTTTGACGTTCAAATCTGTGTATCCTGTCAAATATACCCTGAAGTTATGACTTCTTAGTTTCATCAACCAACTGGCTTAGTACTTGTGATGCATGTGTTTAATGATATTTTAAAAAAGTTAGCATATATTATGGTAAATTCCTATTTGATAAGATAAATGTGTACCATTTACATGCTGGAAATTAAAAAAAAAAAAATTTCAGTAAATTTTTACATAAAAAATTTATTGTGCAATTGTGCATACATTGATTTAGTATACATATATTTTGTATACATTGCTTTTGCAGTTTTTGGAAGGCATTGTATGCAATCGATTGCTCAATTTATCAACTTTCCAGTGGGTGTTTCTAGATGAAAATTTCTTATAAGTTGTGTTGTCTTTGTCCTACTTAATCGGAAGCTTCTTTTGTCAAACGTATTTCCTCTTTTAAAATCTATAGCCTCCAATCAATTCCCACAATGCAACCTGACAAAAATATTTTCTACCACTGTGCCAAATTCAATAATTAGCATGTCATCTGGCCCTTATGGTGGTGAAAAGTCATACTTGTAGGGTTTAAAGGAAAGAAGATGCGGTCGGAATTTAATCTCTCCTGATTATTATATATGAGTTTGAAGTCATTTGATCAAGTATTCAAATATATGATGAGTTGTTCTCCATCAAATTTTATCTCATCATTTTTAAACATCTCACATCTATTACGTCACAGTACCACTAAATTCGGAATTGAATTTACCTTTGAAGTTTTCAGCATCACCTGATCCATCGTAGAAAGTCAGAGATCTCAAATTAATTTTTACAGGTCTTTAGACTTCAGATGAAGTGTATCAATGTGAGGTTTGTCACACGTGATTTGATTAAAATTGCAAATTTTTACACTAAAATGGTGAATAATGAAAGAAAGGGTCTCAAATTTATTCATACGTGATTGCAAATGATATTTTGTTCTTATTTGATATAGTGACATGTGGAAAAAAACTAATACATGTCCTTACATCATTGGCATGGGACGCCATGTGGCGGTGAACCTGTGCCGTGCAAGTCCTTCTCCCAAACATGGCATTCGGAGTGCCCCAACTATCATGATTTTCATCGTCGGTGAGAGAAAGGACACGATAATTGGTGCTGCGCCTAAAATCACATTAACTAGCACCATAGAGAAATTTTTGTAGAGCTGGATACGGAAACCCTTTGCAAGATTTCTGTTTGTAGTATTCTTTTCCTGTTGTTTTTCTTGTGATGGTTACTACTTGATTAGTTTGTCAAATTCAGAAGCTTATTTTATCGCCTTTTTTGTTGATTATATTATGTGTGTTGATCATCTGTGTTAGTATGCATCTCAAACTTCTCCAATAATGTAGCCTCGCAGAAAAATTCTTACCCCACTAAAGTAGTAGAGATTTTAGATGGTCAACTTCTGCAACTCTGAAAATCTTCCACATAGGACCCTACTCTGACCCGGGTACTGCCTTTATAAGTTGCTTTTTTCATATTTTCTACAAATCTAGAACTTTTTGAACTTGACTTTTCTTTTGAATCTAGAAGCTAAAACTGAACAGAGACCGTTGAGTCATTGCTTATACTGACGTTGATGTCTTTGATCCGAAGACCAAGACTGTTTCTCTTGTATATATAGATTCAATCAAACTGAGGACTTGATTCCTATTGGCAGCTGAATTATAAAGAGGAAATGGGGTGGAAGTTACTAGTTGGTTTATTCTCAAATATAAGAAACAGAAAAGAATGTCTATATGAATATGGAAACAACACCAACATATTGCTCTCTGTTCTTTAATTTCATTTCCATCAGCTATTTTGAGAACTATTTATCCTATTGCAGTCATTTTGTCGTTCATTTGAAAGTCTATAAAACTACAAATATTAATGTCATTTAAATGAACTAAAATCAGGAGTGTTTTCTATGTATCCCTAACATAGTGTGCCCGATTCTAATAGAAACACGAGGAACCCTTTTAATTTTTCTATTAGAGTTGGAGAGGTTGTGTCTGGCACACCAAGCACGTTTTGCTAAATAGATTGTGCACAAAACTAGATCGTTCCTTTTATCAAATAGTAGCATGTATGGTTTAAGAAAGGAACATGCATTATTACTTTGTTTTTTCTTTTATTTGTATTCAATCGATTTTCTAATCTAATATATACTATGGGAAGGGGGATTCGAACTTGGGTGTAGAGGGGGAAGCATATTGTCGTAGCCAACTGTGACTACGGCCAAGTCTTCTATTACTTTGTTTGCTTTGAGTATGCTGAAAGTAGTCAAATGAGTCGTATGTAAAGTTATTAAGGTGCACCTTTGTGTGATGTTTTAGGGAATTCTGCCATGGATTTTACCAGTGGATTGCTATCATAACTGAGAAGCCATAAGCTGCCTCCTTTTGCTGGAAAGAAGAGGACGTTGTGAATAAATCACCGGTAATAACAAGTTATTCAATTTATTTTTTCTTTCTCCTCTGGTAATGGGGAGGCATCTCACATATTTGAAATTTGTTTGGGCATACATCACAATCGCAGCCAATCAGCCTTATCTTGAAAGAATTATATAGAGATAATAATAATAATAAAAGTAAATCTAACAACGTGGAGACGGCATTGATGTGCCGGAATGAATTAATCAATTAATAATCTGTCCTTTATTTGAATTTTTCTGAATACGTGCAACTTAAATTGTTGAATGGGAAACCTTGTGACATCTTACCAAGTCCAATGTCAGATGACTAAAATGACATGTGACCTCTAATGATTCTCTAATTTTCCATTCTGTATTTGATCATTTGATTTTGTTGATTAGTGTATTTAGCCCATATTACTGTAAGAAAAGAACCGCTTGGATGTCTTGTCTTTTGATTCTACATAAACTCTAAACAAAATATTAGTGTTGCTGAAGCTCAACTCTAGATATTGGAAACATTCACATATCATCAGCATGCAGGTCAACTCCCAATGCCACACTAGTTTAATTGGTGGTTTGTGTTTACAAACCGAGAAAAACTTGTGTAGGGGCAGCCGGTTCACGTATACTGCCCGACTGCAAATTAAAAAACTTTGTGTAGGGGGGCATCAGACCGTGTGAGAGTCTCACGAAGCACACAATCACTGTATTTTGGTAATCCCATCCGACCTCACTAGTCTCACCCCCTTAAGAGCCGTCCAATTGCGGCAGCCCTACTGAATATTTTCTCGTAAAATCCGGTCCAGATTGATTACATTACATGCATTTGTAAGTAGCCACTTGGATGACACAAAACTAGAGGGTAGGTTATATTTCTTGGAAAAGATTAGCACTGCTTCCTACTGTTTGAAGCTGCATCCACTTGTGTATTAGAAAAACAAAAGTGACACGAGGCCAGCTAACTCGCTAGTAGCGCCTTATCTGTTTTTTGATATATACATATACAATATGTTGTTTGGGGGAATCATCGACAAGCCATGCAAAACCCAAAACCCAATGCAAAATTAGTTTAACTTCTAGTTGTGAAGTTGTTGATTGGTCTATTCGATTAACCATTTAGAAAGACCAATGCTAGGTTACCAACTTTTACGCCTATATAACAAGCCAACGTATTTTTTGATATTATCATGCATATTCACAGTACAATAACGTCCATAACAGGTTAAATCGTTCGACATGATTATCCGGGATGCAGTGAGTTTGAGAAGGAAGGTCCTAACCATTAGAGCAATCCACTGCTTGCGATACAAACAGATAGTTGCGTGCAAAAGTTCTTATATTCCGAACGAAAAGATAGAGACAATGTCGTTAACCAACGTTGGAATGAAAGGGAATGAATGATTTTGCAAATCAAGTGACGCTCCCAATCCTATAATAATCACATGATTATCCATAATTAATTGACTTATAAATTTATAATTCGATTCAAATAAATTCATATACGCTATTACGACCCTGGAACTTGGATTGGAGATGTGGCACTTCGTTTTCACCACGCAATGAGCTTATCAGGTCTCACCAATATAATTTTTTTTTTAAATTACATCATGCTTATCATAATCTAATTTAATTTAATTTATTCATTTTCCTTGTTCTAGAATCTAGAAGAGTAGCTTTCCTCTTATCTAAACAAGAAAGGTGTCTCTTGTCCAACGAGATTGAGAGATATTGTACATGTTTTAATTACTCTCCACCAAATCCAAAAACTAAAATTTAAACATTTGTTGAAATTAACTTTTCAAAATAAAACATAAAACAAAAAGCCACAAGGATGGACTCCCAAAATGGGAAATAGGAGGGGCCGGTAACGGGACGGGCCGATGGCTACATTCATTGTTGTTTTTCCTCTCTTTGTTTACACAACCGACGCTTTTTTTTTTTTTTTTTGAAGAGTACTACTTGGCGGCAAAATTTTAAAATAATAAGTTCTTAAATTGATTAAAAGCTATAAATTTCATCCTTCCTATAAGATTCGGAGCTATTATTTTCAATTTTTCATCAACTTAAGTCATGTGACTTGCATGTAATACATTTTAGAGGCAGATTGACAGTTTTAATGAATGTAAAAATTTAATTTTAACTCAAGTATTAATTCAATAAGCAAATCAGCAGTTTACGCAAGATTGTCACAGTCATGAGTTTGAGAGTTTCTTGACAAAATAGAAACAGAATGTCACATTCCAGACCAGCTTCGCCGTAGAACGATATTGTTTGATTTGGGCCCCGACCACACCCTCACGATTTTGTTTATGGAAACTCAGACAAGAACTTCCTAGTAGGTCACCCATCCTGGGCCCAAACTCGTTTAACTTTGGAGTTCCTATAGAATCTGAAGCCAATGAGTTCCCAAAATGTCTTGTGCTATAGGGAGGGGAGCATGTACATATAAGACACATCACCCCCTCTTCGTTGGTTGATGTGGGATCTTACAATCCACCCCCCTTAGAGGTCCGACGTCCTTGCCAACACATCCATATCAAACACGATATTGTCCGCTATGGGCTTACCATTTATGCACGGTTTTGTTTTTGGAAACTCAGATGAGAACTTCCCAGTGGGTCACCCATCCTAAGATTGCTCTCACTCGAACTCGCTTAACTTTGAAGTTCCGATGGAATCCAAAGTCAGTGAGTTCCCAAAATACCTTGTGCTTTAAGGAGATGAGCATGTACATATAAGGCACATCACCCCCTCTCTGTTGGTTGATATGTGATCTTACAATCCACCCCACTTAAGGGGAACCCGGCGTCCTTGCCGACACATTTGTACCCAACGGCAGAGTGGCTTCGCCGTAGCAATTGTAAGATTCAACATCGACCAACGGAAAGGGGGAGATCTGCCTTATATGTACATGCTCCCCTCCTTATAGCACGAAGCTTTTTGGGAACTCACTGGCTTCGGATTCCATCGAAACTCCGAAGTTAAGCGAGTTCGGGCAAGAGCAATCCTAGGGTGGGTGAGCCACTGGGAAGTTCTCGTCTGAGTTCCCAGAAACAAAACCATGCGGGAATGGTAAGCCTAGAGTGAACAATATCTTGTTACGGCGGAGCCGGGACCGAGATGTGACAGAATGGTGGCGGGCCCCGGCCACACCCTTATGGTTTTGTTTCTAGGAACTCATACGAGAACTTCCCAGAAGGTCATCCATCCTGGAAATGCTCTCACCTGAACTTGCTTAACTTCGGAGTTCCAATGAAATCCGAAGCCAGTGAGTCCCCAAAATGTCTCGTGCTATTGGAAAGGAAGCATGTACATATAAAGCACATCACCCCCTCTCCATTGGTTGATGTGGGATGTTACACAGAAAGTTTGGAAAATTTTGATTGAAGGTAGTATAAACTTTCTCTCTCATATATGACCATTCCCCCCCCCCCCCCCCAAACAAAAAAAAAATTTAGATAAAACCTACCTAAGATTACTTTTTCATTATAACTGGGTGCTTTTATGAATATAATTTTAGTCCCTAAATTAAAAACTCATTATTACATCATATTAAATACCCCAACCACTTTTATTATTTTCAAATTTTCTTTCTAGAATTCTAAATTTAATCACCAATTAGGCCTTAACATATGAATTTTTATTTCCACAAATCAAATTTAGCAATTTAAAATGGAAGATTTTTTAAAACATTTTGCTAATGAGAATTAACCTGTATATAAAAATTTGTACAGACAATCATCAAACCAAACAAATGAACTATATGAGAGACACAATAAACAATTTACACTATAAAGGTACCTGAATTTATGTAGGTACACATTTATACATAGGTTCATATGTATAGGCACACAAAATGTATATATAGGTGCATATATCGATGCATGAATATATAGGTACACAAATTATACATGTGTGTTATATATATATATATATATATATATATATATATATATATATATATATATGTGCATATAAACACATACATATCGTCCAGGGGAGTGATCCTTAAATGTATATTCTCATCCCTACCTAGCACGAGGCCTTCTAAGAACTCACTGGCTTCGGGTTCCGTAGGAACCCCGAAGTTAAGCGAGATTGCAGCGAGAGCATTCCCAGGATGGGTGACCCATTGGGAAGTTACTCGTGAGTTCTCGGAAACAAAACCGTGAATGCGTGGTTGGGACCCAAAGCGGACAATATTGTGCTACGGTGGAGTCGAGCCCGGGATGTGGTGGGGGCCCGGGCCAAGATGAGGCATTTTGAGAGCTCACTTGCTTCGAGTTCCATGGGAACTCCGAAGTTAAGCGAGTTTGTGCGAGAGCTATCCCATGATGGGTGACTCACTGGGAAGTTCTCATGTGAGTTCCTAAAAACAAAACTGTGAGGGCGTGGTCGGGTCCCAAAGCAGACAATATCGTGCTACGGTAGTGGAATGGGCCCGGGAAGTGGTCTGCCCCGGGCCAGGATGTGACACATATGTATTGTTACCACTTTAGAAATTTTTTTACGAGTGTTGAATACACATTAAGTAAAAATCTTCTATTTATAAAACTCAAAATAAAACAAAACAAAAGTTAATAAAGGATCAAAAACAGTATTTAATATTACACCCAACTTTAGTGAAAAATTAATCTTATTTAGGGATTATAATCTAGTTTCCTAAAAAAAATGGGAGTTTGTTGCGTTTAATAATGGAGTATGGCAGAAAGGGTTCTAGAAGCAATATTAACTAATAACTACCGGCCGGTGATGAGTACATTAGTTTATTCCTTTACATAATTATATAAATAATCAGCACGTTAAAGAATAATAAAACAATTCCTCAGAGTCAGCCTCAGAGTGCAAGGGAGAGGGAGGAGGAGAGGATACTCAGACCCAGCTCAGTCGGCGGCA